GATTCTCGATAGGAATTCAGTTTTCCTTCACCTTAGTACATTCATCGAGACTAAATTCCTAGGGGGCATTTGTTAGGGTTACTCGAAAAGTATTTGAAATTACTCAAAAGAGAGGAGATTGGACGAGGTATCTACCAAAAAAGAATGAGACCATAAAGCACGCTTGTTCGATGATCAATCGAAAAATACAAAGAAGGAGTTATTGGACGTTTTGAGCAGTTGAGTGGTAGTTATTTGGTCGAAGAATCGAAAAAACGTGGAGTGAAGGGTTGAGAGATTATACGACGTTGGCGTAGTGGACAGCGGTTGCGCACCCACGATGTACGTGCACAGAATTAACCACTCTCGACTAACTATAAATACAAGAGATAGGCTCCTTCACAAAGGTCAGAAAATTCATACTTGCACTCTACAAGCACTCTCCGCCTGCATATGGCTTTCGTGCATGGAATTGTTGGGTATGGCAAATTCTTGACCACATTTCTTTTCTTTTTCTAGGATTAGTTTAGTTTCGTTTAATACCGTAGTGTAGTTCGTAGTTCATAGTTTGTTTTTTCTAAATCATGATATTGTAATTTGACAATTATGAAAAGTGAACGATGATTTTTATTGCAAGTATATTTATTGTTCATTCTGTGCATTTGAGTATTTACGTGTATGAACATTATTGCTTGATAATCATTAATGAAACTCTTGAAACGAATACTTATTAGTCACTCTGTTTCATCTATCTCTTTATCCTTAAGATAATTTAATTATAATTACCTAAATGAAACCATCGTGTGCTAGTTCAAATACAAAGAACTCATAAACAAATTTCACCACAAATAGTGATAATTCCAAACACATCTTCGCCATAATGCTTATTCCTCCCTTCGTCATTTTATGAAGACTCATCCCCACATGATCCTTTACCAAGCTACCAACCACACCCCCTTGTAAGTATTGCATCATTTGACTTTTCAATTCCTCCATTCCTTCTTCCATCGTATCAACTTTCTTATTTTGTAATTCACAAATATCTTCCTTAATTAGATCTTTTTCCATAAAAACCTCCTTATTAAAGGCTTCTTCATTTGCAACCCCCTCAAAATTGCTGTTAATATCCAAATCCTTTTGAATTTCAAAAATATTCCCGTAATACAAATTTTCTCTCTTATTCAACAAATAGTATTACACCAGAATAGATTCTTCAATACAAGATACAGAAAGGCACAAAAATGACAATGATTCATCCTCTCTTTTTTTTTAAATTTTATTTCTGTCAAAAACTATGTAGCTACAACATAATAACATGAAAGAAAACCAAGAACCACCAAAATCAACATCAAATGTTAGTGAAAAGAAAATATCATTGTCACCACAGGAGCGAAAATAAAATTAAATAAAACTTATGAGAGGCAATGGTGTAGACACAATTATGACCAACACAATCTAATTGAACACCCATATCCAAACTGGATCGAAAACATCAAGGAAATGATTCGGGGGACATCAAAAGAATCTTCAAGAGCATGATACCATATTTTCAAGATAAATAAACTCTATAGCATAGTGCAACTGACAATTTAAGTCAACACATTAAAACTCATCAAAAAACAAATTGGTACACTATCGAACAATTGGAAAAGATGAAAATATAGAGCCTAAATTATCTTTCATGACAGCTTCAAAAAGTTTCCCATTCATCTTATACTAACTTCAATTCATAACAGGAACCAATGTTTTAGAAACTTGTCATTACAGTAAATTCTTCTCATTCCAAGATCACAATAAAGAAAGCGAATAAGAGAGGAGAGAAGAGGAAAAAAGAAAAAAGAATTAACCTTCGACAGAGTGAATCCATAAAAGGGAGTGGCAGAAACAAAACTTGGATCTAGAGACAATGAAAGGTTCAAATGCAGTTATTGTTCATGAACTCAAGAACCAAAAATAATTTATATCTTCTTCATAAATATCCACGACGTACACCTAAAATCTCCATCCAACAACATGGATTTAACATTCTACGTAGCAAATTATATGAGCAAAATAAAAGCTAAAATATGAAAATAACTAAACCCAAAATACTAAACACAAGCTTCTTTCTAGGCCCATCACCAACAAGCACAAATACCTAAAATATGAAAATAAGGAACATTTAAACTTGAAAGCCTAATCAGCAAAGACAAATACATTAACATATAAAAATAGTCAAGTTATACAATGAAAATGATAATAAGAAAATTAATGTAAAATATAGAACCATTTGCCACAAGGTTATTTAAATCACAAACTTGCAATTTATTCTTTAGATCACAAACTTACAACCTTAATACAAACACATCCCCTCCTCAAACTGTCTATTCTTCAAAATCTTCAACCTAATCTCTAGAACACAAATTACTCTTTGAATCCTCTCTGATTTTACCCCTTCCAAGTAGTCCCCCTTTCTTAATTTCCTTCCTATCTCAATTTTTTCTCTGAAACTTCAGCCCCTTGCTCTTCAGATCCCACACTCCAACCTTGTCCCTTTCTCTTAGACCCCAACCCCAATTTTAATTTCGTAGCAATAACCACTTACAAGACATTTTTTTTTCTTCCAATGTTCTAGTAAGTATTTTGATCAAGACAATTCCATGATTAAACTCTCACATCATATTTCACATTAAAACTACCCTTAAGTTGTCAGTCATCTACCAAGTAAATAACACAAACAACCCTCAATACAAAGAATATATATTTGTTGGGATGCAAACAAAGTCCCACATCGTTCAAACAAGAGAATGAACATGGATTTATATACACACAATTGTCTCTATTGGTCGAGAGACCTTTTAGGTGATGTCCAAAAGCAAATTCGTGAGGGCTTGGGCCCAAAGCGAATAATATCTCACCAATGTGGAGACATGTGTATATGTGTGATAACCCGCCCTACTGCTCAACAAGTAGTATCAGAGCCGATGGTCTGAGGTTATCGATCAGATAATACTCGTAGTTTCCCTTGTAAGGGGGGTAAACCGTGGTCCTTTGCTTGAGGGCCCGCCCTGGTGCTCAACAAGTGGTATCAGAGCCGATGGTCTGAGGTGATCGATCAGATAATACTCGTAGTTTCCCTTGTAAGGGGGGTAAACCGTGGTCCTTTGCTTGAGGGCCCGCCCTGGTGCTCAACAAGTGGTATCAGAGTCGATGGTCTGAGGTGATCGATCAGATAATACTCGTAGTTTTCCTTGCAAGGGGGGTAAACCGTGGTCCTTTGCTTGAGGGCCCGCCCTGGTGCTCAACAAGTGGTATCAGAGCCGATGGTCCGAGGTGACCGGCTCGACGAGTATGATGGCTGGCAGGTGGATCCAAGTAGAAGAGAGGCTTCCTCCTAACATGGAGGGTTAGGAGGCAAGGGGGGTAAACCGTGGTCCTTTGTTTAAGGGGAAGATTGTTGAGATGCAAGCAAAGTATCACATCGTTCAAATAAGAGGATGACCGGTTCGACGAGTATGATAGCTGGCAGGTGGATCCAAGTGGAAGAGAGGGTTCCTCCTAACATGGAGGGTTAGGCGGCAAGGGGGGGTAAACCGTGATCCTTTGTTTGAGGGGAGGATTGTATGATGGCTGGCAGGTAGATCCAAGTGGAAGAGAGGCTTCCTCCTAACATGGAGGGTTAGGAGGCAAGGGGGGGTAAACCGTGGTCTTTTGTTTGAGGGGAGGATTGTTGGGATGCAAGTAAAGTCCCACATCGTTCAAACAAGAGGATGGACATAGGTTTATGTCTCCATTAGTCGAGAAGCCTTTTGAGTGATGTCCAAAAGCAAATTCAAAGCGAATAATATCTCACCAATGTGAAAACATGTATATATGTGTGATAACCCGCCCTGGTGCTCAACAATATTTGACATTTTGTTCAACCATAAGTCCATAACAGCAAAAGTAAAGATTAGAGATGAGTGAGCACTAATTATAACTTATACAAAGTAAGCGGAAACAAGGGACTCAACAAACAAAACATAATGTAACCTACACCAGATTCTGTTAGCACTGTTACAATACAATTAGTGTAAGAATTATAATGCATAAAAAAAACGACGAACCAATATTTGGTCTTGCGGATTGGTTATGAAACACGACACTAGCAGAAATGAAGTAAATGAATAGATGATATTGAAAACGTGAGAGCAAATAGAGCCACTCAAGGGACATGATGTGTATAACCAACAGAAGGATACATAGATCAAATATTCAAATTCTTCCTTATACAACTAGTAGCAGAAATTTTATTTTAAGATAAATAGAAGGGGAGGGGGAGGGGGGGAATTTGAGTAAGCGAATAGAAGCTCTGAGTGTAGATGAACAAGAGCTGAAACAGAAATTGATGTGTTCCATATTCTTAGGGATACAAAACAGATTCTCACATCGCTTGTTGTGCCTCTTGCACCCTTATATTTTAGGCACCATTTTGTCAAGATGTTGAGGGCTTGATGAGCTTGAGTATATACTATCAGTCACCTACCATCTTTGATCACAGACTGTTTCTCTGTTCCTCGTTTCCTTTACTCAATTAATATAGTAATTATCTTCTCAAAATAACTTAAATTTGAATTAATGTTAAGTATTAAAGAACTTGTAAAAATTTGTATACTTAATTTATTCAATGAGAATATTAGTCTTGGTTATGAAATAGATTACGTTTGAAAGCTAAATTACCCACATTATATGCATTTATGGTCCCTACATATATTAGTTATTATTTCTATTGATAGAGACTTTATACTTATATCATGATTACTAAAGAAAAAATTATTTAATAAAAAAATTTAATTTAACAATTAATTTATTGAAATTCAAAGTATATCATGAATTAAGTAAAGTATATTTGTGAGTTATTCATCCATCCACAACTTTAAAATAATAAAAGAAAAAGTAACTTAAAAATAATAGAACTATTTCTTCCATATTGAAGATTTGGTATACCTACTCTGAAGTAACAACAACCGTATTCCATTATTTAGAAGCCTACAAATTAAACCAAAGTTCTTTAATCAAAGATCACATGCCCAAACTTATACAGGTTAGTCCTCTTCCCGCATCCACAGACAGAGGCATATCCACAAAATGGAGAAGAAAAGCAAAGCCAATAGTGTGCATTGCGTGGTCTTAGCATATCCAGCTCAAGGTCACACCAACCCCATGCTTCAATTCTCCAAGCTTTTGCAGCAAGAAGGTGTGAGAGTAACATTTGTCAGCACCCTTTTCTATTGCAACAACTTGCAGAAACTGCCAACTGGCATTTCACATGAAACAATTTCTGATGGTTTTGACGGTGGAAGGATTGGAGAAGCTAAAAGCTTCAGGGTCTACTTGGATCGCTTTTGGAAAATAGGGCCAAAGACTCTTGTTGAGCTTCTTGAGAAGCTTATGAGATCAGGGTACCCTGTTGATTGTCTTATTTATGATTCATTCATGCCTTGGGCACTAGAAGTTGCAAAGAGATTTGGGATTGTTGGGGTTCCTTTTCTCACTCAAAATTTGGCTGTGAATAGTATATATTATCATGTCCACTTGGGAAAGTTGCAAGTTCCCCTCACAAATCAAGAGATTTCCCTACCTGCTCTTCCCCAACTTCAACTTGGGGACATGCCTTCTTTCTTCTTTAACTATCTTCAAGATCCTGCTTTTCTTGATTTCTTAGTAGCCCAGTTTTCTAACATTGACAAAGCTGATTGGATCCTCTGTAATTCCTTCTACGAGCTGGAGAAAGAGGTAAGTAGCTCAAGTCTTGTGAAAATTGCTTCATATTTTATTTAGGAAATAAACTTCTCTATAAATACTTATGGAAGATAAAAATAAAAAAGAAAAATGAAATAAATCTTTTTATTAGTTAAAATTAACTTATACATATATTAAGTTCTTAAAAATCTAATCCTCAACTCATTATGTATAAGTTAGTTTTAGTGTAAGAAAAAATTTATTTTAATTTTTCTTCTTATTTTTTTGTGATAAAAGTGTTAAGTGTTTCTGGAAAAATTTATCTTAAATAGATGTTTACTAAATTTTTCTTAGAAGATTTTAATTTCCCTTTGTGGGTCAGAGAATAAGTATGAAATTTCAGTTGTTCAAGAATGTTGATATTATGTTCACATACATATAATCAAGAATATGTTAGAATTATCATACATTACTTATTTTGCTAGTAGGTGGCTGATTGGACGATGAAGATCTGGCCTAAATTTAGGACCATAGGACCATCCATTCCATTCATAAATCTAGAAAACCAAACCCAAGATGGTGAAGACTATGGTATTGCACAATTCACAAGTGAAGAATGCATGAAATGGTTAGATGATAAACCAAGAGAGTTCGTTGTTTACGTTTCTTTCGGGAGTATGGCAGAGCTTAGTGAGGAACAAATAGAGGAATTAGCTTATGGTTTAAGAGACAGTGGAAGTTACTTCTTGTGGGTGGTTAGGGCCTCTGAAGAGACTAAGCTTCCTAAAGGCTTTGAGAAGAATTCAGAGAAAGGGTTGGTAGTAACATGGTGCTCCCAGCTAAAAGTTTTAGGCCATGAGGCCATAGGGTGCTTTGTAACACATTGTGGTTGGAACTCTACATTGGAAGCTTTGAGTTTGGGAGTTCCAATGGTTGCAATGCCACAAGAGGCAGATCAAAGCACTAATGCTAAGCATGTTGAAGATGTTTGGAAGGTGGGAATCAAAGCTCTAGTTGATGGAAAACATGTTGTGAGACGAGAAGTGTTGAAGCATTGTGTTAGGGAAGTATTGGAGAGTGAAGGAGGCAAAGAGATGAAGAGAAATGCCATGCATTGGAGGACTTTGGCTGCAAACGCTGTTGGTAATGGTGGAAGTTCTCATGCAAATATTAATGAATTTGTAAATAGCGTGCAATCCGAATGCACTCAATGTTAAATTACTTGCTACACCTTCGGATTGTGATAATAGGTGTTTGTTTGATTGGAAGAAAATATTTTTAACTCTCATAAAAATTTAAAAATAAATAAAAAGATAAAATTGATCTATTATGATTTTGTTTTATAAATTTAATAATATTAATTAATACAATTATTTATATTAATCTATATAATTTGATTAAAAGTGTTATATAATAAAAATCAGAGGAAGAAATTAGTTAAATATAAATACACTTTAAAGTCAAATATACTTTAATATGAAAATTTAAAGATGAATAAAAAGGATAAAATAATTTTATTTTATAAATTTAATAAAATTAACTAATATAGTTATCTATAATGATCCTATAATTCGATTAAAAGTGACATATAATAAGAATAAGAAGAAAAAATTAATAGAATATATACTTTAAAGTCAAATAAACTATAATATAATAAGGTTACTTCACTTTGAAATGACGTACTTTTTTTTTTTTGTTTAAGAGGTGGATCTTCTTTTTATCAGGTTTTTATAAAAATAAAATAATACTTCCAATTATGGTTTTTTTATTAAAATATGATATTAAATTTCGATCTTTAATTAAAATCGGTTGTACTAATGATAATGAATAATGATATACCATTTTGAAACCGTAATTCTTTTATATCTAATTGTACGAAACATGTTTTGCATTTCTTTACATTTGATCATTTATTTCTTGAACCTTTTTTTTATATTTTACAAAAATGAAATTTGATAGTGGCTAAAGTGAAATTTGCGTTGCCACCCTAAGATCAATTTGTATTGGAAAATGATTCGGTCTCCAACTGTTTATGCCGAAATCCTTTCTGAATAAATAAAATAATAAATTAATTATAAAATATTAAATTAAATAATTATTTTATAATAAATTTATTAAAAAATATTATTATTTTAACTTTTTGAAACACGATTCGAATAATTTTTCGGAGAGTGTAGCATAACTCATTTGTATTATATCCAACTTGCTACATGAAGGGTCGGTCTATACATCTGAGAACCGTTTTGAATAACTATGAAGTGACTGCACAAGGAGTGGCATGACTTCGAGGGTCAGGGTCTGATGGAATTCAGTAATTCCCGTGCTAAAGAGACGTTTTGTTCAAACTTTTTATTCCTTTTCCTATCTAGCTCCGAACAATTCCTCATGAACACTAGATGATACCCTTCCAAGTGTTTTCAATATTCTCCTTATCAACTTCCTTGAACTTAACAAAGAATGATAAACTTCCTAGATAGTCATCATTATATATATATATATATATATATATATATATATATATATTCATGCGGGAAACATTCCTGTTGGTCTTTCTGATGACTTGTTTCTAAGGTTCGAGGTGTTGGTTGAAAAGCTTATCGTCCCCACAAAAAAAATATTTCATAAAATAATAAGTCAAACAAGTTTATTTTCTGTCTGAAGATAGTTGTAGTGAGAAATAAGTAGTGGATAAAATTTTTAATATGATATATCAGTTAAACAAAATTGCATTTGAGAAATAGATAAAGAAGTGCAAAGAGTTTTATATTGGTTTGTTCGACCTGAGCTACGTCTAGTCTCCTTCAACCGAAGGGCTCCACTAATCTCAACTGATTACAAGTATTATCAATCACTTCTGGTTCACCAACTTCACTCGTCAGTGTTACTATTCTTAAACCACTTTTGGTTTCCCGAGTATTATCAATCACTCCTGGTTCGCCAAATTCACTTGTCAGTGGTAGTATTCTTAAACCACTTCTGGTTCCTCGAGTATTATCAACCACTCTTAGTTCTCCAAGTATTCTTTCAACTAGCCTTTTTAGGCTTTATAGTAGATAGATATTTTGAGTGTGTATATAACTCTCATAGAGAGGATAGGATGGTTTCTAGACTCGCTAAGGTATGCAACCTTAGTTTTACAAGGATATGTGTCTTGAGTGTGTGTATTACTCTCGTAGAGAGGATAGGATAGTTTCTACACTCGCTAAGATAAGTTATCTTAGATTTACACAAATATAAAAGACTGTACAAGAAGAGATGTAAGTTTGGTCTGGCGTTCGCTTTTGCTTATTGCTCGTTGCTCGTTGCTTCTCTTCTCTCCTCTCTTCTCTTGTTAGGTCTTGATATTTATAGCCTCGCGATAAATCAGCCCGTTGTTTGAATTTGAAAGTGTTCATTGGAGCGGAGCTTGTCGTTGGTGCAGATAGTAGTTCGTTCATGGCTATAGAGATCTTTCATTTAATTCATTTGATCTTGCATTAAATGTTTTCTTACTGAATATGTGTTACGTGAAGTCCTTTGAGTAGTTCTCTCACTTCTATTTCTGACTTTAATCATAGCCTAGGTATTTATGTTCTCTCTTTCCGTCATTGTAGCTGCAGAGCCGTTGTCTTTTTCTGAAAAGTATGTGTACTTTCTCTGTCACACGCATGCTTTGACTTGTGGATTCGCACTTGTCTATCTTTCTTCTTTCTTTTCACAAATTTGATGACTTCGTGTACTATTGTATAAGTGTAGACGATATTTGATATCTCTTGTTGTGAATAGTGGACTTCAGACGCTTTTCAGTAATCTTCGTCTGCGTTTGCTAATGTATCTCAAATTTGAGTCTCCGTCTAAGAAGTAGACTTTGACTTTTCCTTTCGTCTGGTCAATTGTGAAGATGGAAGACTTTAATTCTGTCTGGAACGTTTCTTCGTCTTGTGTTATCCCTCGTCTGATACTTTGTTGACCTTCTTGTGGTTAACCATTAGGCTTCATCTAATGTCTGTACGGACCTCATCTGGTGCTTAACCAACTTTTGTCTTGTTCTTGATTTAGCCTTGTTTGTTTTGGCCTTTCGCCTGCTTGATCAATCATCGTCTGATGTTTTGTACAACTCAACCAGGCTTCGTTTGGTTTGACCATAGTATGTGTTTTACCCGTTCTTATATGTATCTAAAACACTAACATACATGTTAGAAATAACAATATGCATTATATTTGTCATGTTCAAAACCTTGTTGGGAATTTCTTCGTCTGACTTAACAATCTCTCCCTTTTTGATGATGACAAATATAATCTATCAATTTGTTTCATATACACTATAACATACATACAGGGTTATGCATATCAAACAGTTTATCAAGTTCATGCATTTCATGTCATATATTAGAGTAATCATCAAGCATTTAAGGGTTTTAGGGTTCTAAGGCTCTCCCTCTTAGTATATGTTTTCCCCCTCACTTGATTATCCATTAGATAGGTTTGATAGATTCTTTCCTACTTCTCCCCCTTTGTAATTATCAAAAAGAAAAAGATATAGATAATGCAACAGTTTATTGTTCACCTATCAATTCCATTCCTAGCCTATCTCTCAGCCAGATGTATTTATCTTCTTGAAAAGGTTTGGTAAAGATATCTGCTAGTTGTTCTTCTGTTTTAACATAAATTAGTTCGAAGGTTCCTTTTTGCACATGATCTCTAATGAAATGGTGTTTTATCTCTATGTGTTTAGTCCTAGAATGCAAAATAGGATTTTTAGAGATGCTAATTGCAGTAGTGTTATCACAAAGTACATGAATACTACTTTCATAGATGTCATAGTCTTCCAGCTGATGTTTGATCCAAAGCAATTGCGTGAGGCACTATCCTGCGGCGATATACTCAGCTTCGCAAGTTGATAAGGCAATCGTGCTTTGCCTTTTGCTAGTCCATGATACTAAGCATCATCCGAGAAAATGACATCCTCCGCTAGAGCTTTTCCTCTCCCATCTATCCCCTATGAAATCTGCATCACAATATCCTAATAGAGAAAAATTTTGGCTTCTATAGAAGCTGATTCTTAGGTTAGATGTTCCTTTAAAATATCTTAAAATATGTTTAACAGCTTGTAAATGTACCTCTTTAGGTCTTACTTGATATCTAGCATAGACGGAGACGCTAAACATAATGTCAGGTTTGGATGTTGTTAGATACAAGAGTGAACCTACCATTCCTCGGTACATGGTGTCGCAACCCAAAAATTTCCAATCTCATGACCTATGATTTAGACATCCTTTTAAAGATCTCATTAATTAAGGAATGCCTAGACACCAGACTAATCCTTAATTAATAGTTTTGAAAAATGAGTTCATGGAGTCGCCACCAATGTTTTACTCAAAAAATTGGAAAAAAAAAGTTTTAAAAAAATCCAATAATGGCCTTGATAACCAGAATTGGGTTCGGGGGTCGATTACGTGTACCCTCAATCAGTACCCTATGATGAAGTTAACATGATAAGAATCAATAAATTAAATATTAGATCCCCTTTATTAATATTTATTTACATACTATAAATTTAAATTATACGATTGATCCTAAAACGTCTACATGGTTGCTTTTATTATAACGATATTTAAGATGAGGGAATAGTGAAAAGAGAAGAGAATTGAGTGAAATACCTCTTAAACGAGCTTTACTGAATTTTCAAATATAGGGATCTTTTAGGTGCTTTGTGGCAACCTTTCAAACTAAAATATGCCTCACAAAAATCTCAAGAAATACAAAAAGAGAGAGAGAAAGAGAGAAATTTCAAGCTCTAAGGAGTCTTGGATGAAATTTTGGGGCCCTTGGGAACTGTGCCTGAGTCTTCTATTTATAGACATCAAAACGTGGCCTGAATGACCTGTTCCAAAATTGAAACGGCCCATTCTAGATCCGGCTGTTATGTGTTAATTTTGTAACTGGAATGGCCCGTTCTTAATCTAGAACGGCCCGTTCTAGAGATGAGTTTAACACATAATTGACTACACTGGAACGACCATTCTAAACAAGGTTTTTTAGACCTTTTTAATAACTTAGAACGTCTCGTTCTAGTTTAGGCACAGCCCATTCCAATTTAGCAATGAGCTGTTCAAAACTTAGGTTTTAGCCCTTTTTTAGGAACTTGGAACAAACCGTTCCAAACTAGGGTTTTAGGCCTTTTTAGGAACTTGGAACGGCCCTTTCCAAATTAGGAACAGCCCGTTCCGGTTTTGCAACAGCCCGTTCTTGGCTACTAAAACCATCTTGTTTGGGCTTTTAGGTCTTCTGATGTCTGTCCTGTTGTTTCCATGCTTCGAGAGCT